GGCGCCAGCCAAGCATTGTGCTTCGTGATTCGTCATCCCGTGATGGCAGTCAGTCACAGTCAGTCAAGAGTCGCAATCTCGCAGTCAAGAATGCTCCACTCTGACACCTACACAGCAGAAGAGAGTCAGAGCCATCCTGACGAGTCGTGAGTGCGGTGCGGCGCGGCGCGACGCGACGCGATGCCACTGGTGCTCTGCTTCAGTATCCACATTCAGATTCACGTTTACTACACTTGTGTACGAGTAGCGTGCCGGTGTACTGTATGTAGGTACAGTCGTGGGCTCTGGGTATTTATTGGGTTTCCTTCAGCACGGACCTTCAATTCGTGCCGAAAACGGCTGCGGATCTCGGTAATGACGCTTACATCAGAAGGCCGGAAGATGAGGCCTAAGCCCGGCACGACATATCAAGCCGCTCCCGTTGGTATCACATGTTTCCCCCTGCTTGCGGAAGCACGGTGGTCAAAAGTGACGCTCCTTCATGCTGTCAGTCAGGCAGCGGCATATCGCGTTAGCATGGCGTCCAGGGCTCACTTTCGCATTCCAAACGCGCCAGTCATCTACTTGCGTGCTGCTTGAGTGAGAAGCGCAACCCAACGAAGTGGTTAGAAGATGATTGCCATTCCATAAATACTTGCCGACGATAACACGGTTGGATGTCAGGGAAGGGGAACGAAAAGAGGAAGCAATCGAATGATGCGACGGATCTGAAAATTCACGCTACTTTCACGCAGCACAGTAGTCGTCCGCATCCTCAAGTGGTCAAGCTCTAACGACGACCGAAGCCAAGGGCCCTCCACATACCAAGATGAAGAGAGCGTCTAGCAGAGTCCGCCTGGCCAGAAGAAGCCTCTTCGGAGCTGGAAGTTGGAGCTGCAGCAATGGCGCCAGCGATGCTGGTAGCGACCGAGTCCGAGTCCGCCGAGAGGGCAGATAGGGCAGCTTGCTCCTGCGTCGAGTCTCGAGAAGTCGTAACGTTGCTCGTATCCACGCTGTTACCTGCTACAGCGCCCGATCTGATCATCACAAAGGGTGCGAAAAGGTTCAGCTTCGGCTCCGGCGCTACTCGAAGAGCCTACTGCTAGTGTTCTACACTCACGCAACGGCAGAGGCATTCACTCCGATTGTGATCCAACCCCAAGCTCCGTTGGCAATGTCAGATCCATCGAAAGCTTCAATATCGAGCATGGAGCTTGCACCCGAGTTGGCAGTCGCCTCTAGAATGTTGTCCTCATCGTTCGTTGTCCTAGTACCCGTGTTCGAAGCGTACGCCGCGTTCTGAAGATACGCCTGAGTC